TTTCTATTTAACGAACCTTGTCTTAAACCATACTAATCTAAATGTACGTAAAAATAATAAACCACTATTTTTATTTCCTTGTAGTTCTATAACATTCATTAAAACAATTTCAGCATCAAAAACGAAATAATCTTTTATTTAAACAAAAAGTATTTGTGATTCAATTGTTTAAAGTACTAAATTTTTATAAAACTAAATGATTTGTTCATTTGATTAAATAGAATAGAAATAATTAATAAATTGATTCAATAGAATTACTTTTTCTTGAAAATTAAATTGTCAAATATAAATATCTTCAGGATAAAGCTAAAGATATAAGAACGAAAGTGAGAAAGATTTTTATTTCTATACAATGCTTTTCCCACATCTCAATCTATTGACGGCTGTATCATTGGTTTTACGTTAGCTTTTGTCTACATTCTTATTTTTACTTTTGGTTTTATTCTATTGAATTGTCTGTTTTACTGCTTTTCAATATAATTGGACTGACAACTTTAATATATAATTATAGAATTCGTATGAACTGAGATAGCATGCTGGGAGAAATATTTTCATTTCTACTATATTACACCCAGAAATAAATCGTTTCCTTAACCTTTTCGTTCTCCTCGCAAATTTATAGTATTTTTATAATTAATTTTTGATAATTATTGGAAAAAGATTCATTATTGTGATTCGATAACACGTTTAAATTTTCAATAAAATTGGCTTCGTAATACATTGTACCATTTTTTAAAGATCATCTTATCTTATCTTGCATTCAAATCAATCTATATTATAGTATTATAACATGCACCCAACCAACATACTGTGCCCTTCAGCGAACATGTAAAATTCAGTTATCAGTAAAATATAAGCAGATACGTTTCACAATTAGAATGTCCGAACACGTAATGACCTTGCCTTTTTAGTTTTGTCACGTAGCTTTTCATTCAGTTTTAGATTACTTAAACAGTGTCAAGTTATCTTCAAATCAATCATCATATTTATTCAAGGTCAACCAAAAATTTATACATTAAATCGATGAGAAGGAAGTTAATTTTTTAAT